AGATCGCATATGCTTGCAGATCGCATATGCTTGCAGATCGTATATGCTTGCAGATCGTATATGCTTGCAGATCGTATATGCTTGCAGATCGTATATGCTTGCAGATCGTATATGATTGCAGATCACATATGCTTGCACATCGCACGCGGCATAAGCTTGCATATGAAGCATCTGTGCATATGAAACACATGTGCATACGTGCATATGAAGCATATGTGCATATGTGCGTATGTGCATATGAAGCATATGAAGCATATGAAGCATATGAAGCATACGAAGAAAAAAAAAGAAAAAAAAGCGCGCAAAATAGAAGATGCGCGCGCTGGGTATTGAACGACTGGGTGGACAGACTACAGCGCGCTGTTCGCGCGTGTGGGGCGTAGCTCCGTCGCTGAACGAGGCGCGGTCCCTGCGGTCCCGAGGGTGCCGTAGCTCTCGTCCGGGTCCGGACAGGTTCAGGTGCATCTGGACGTTCAGGTGCATCCGGATTGCAAATGCTTGCGTATTGCAAACGTTTGCATATTGCATATGCATGCATTTGCAATATGCAAATATTTGCAATATGCTTGAAGATCGCATATACTTGCAGATCGCATATGCTTGCAGACTGCATGTGCTTGCAGGTCGTATATGCTTGAAGACTGCATATGCTTGCAGATTGCATATGCTTGCAGATCGCATATGCTTGCAGATCGCATATGCTTGCAGATCGCATATGGCATATGCTTGCAGATCGCATATTGCATATGCTTGCAGATCGCATATTGCATATGCTTGCAGATCGCATATTGCATATGCTTGCAGATCGCATATGGCATATGCTTGCAGATCGCATATTGCATATGCTTGCAGATCGCATATGGCATATGCTTGCAGATCGCATATGGCATATGCTTGCAGATCGCATATGGCATATGCTTGCAGATCGCATATGGCATATGCTTGCAGATCGCATATGGCATATGCTTGCAGATCACATATGCTTGCAGACTGCGTATGCTTGCATAATGCAGATGCATGCGCATATATATAACAGATGGCATATGCTTGCAGATCACATATGCTTGCAGATCGAATATGCTTGCAGATCGCATATGGCATATGCTTGCAGATCGCATATGGCATATGCTTGCAGATCGCATATGCTTGCAGATCGCAATGACATATGCTTGCAGATCGCATATGGCATATGCTTGCAGATCACGTATGGCATATGCTTGCAGATCGCATATGGCATATGCTTGCAGATCGCATATGGCATATGCTTGCAGATCGCATATGGCATATGCTTGCAGATCGGATATGCTTGCAGGTCGCATATGCTTGCAGATCGCATATGCTTGCAGATTGCATATGGCATATGCTTGCAGATCGCATATAGCATATGCTTGCAGGTCGCATATGCTTGCAGATCACATATGCTTGCAGATCGCATATGCTTGCAGATCACATATGCTTATAGATCACTGCATAGCATAGCATAGCATAGCATAGCATAGCGCAGCATAGCATAGCATAGCATAGCATAGCATAGCGCAGCATAGCATAACACAGCGCAGCATAGCATAGCAGATCATATAGCATAGCGCAGCATAGCACATCATATAGCATAGCGCAGCATAGCATAGCATAGCATAGCATAGCGCAGCATAGCGTAGCATAGTGTAGCATAGCATAGCATAGCATATCGCATATGCTTGCAGATCGCAGATCGCCTATGATTGCAGACCGCATAATGCATATGCTTGTAGATCGCATATCGCATATGCTTGCAGATCGCATATCGCATATGCTTGCAGATCGCATATCGCATATGCTTGCAGATCGCATATCGCATATGCTTGCAGATCGCATATCGCATATGCTTGCAGATCGCATATGCTTGCAGATCGCAAATGCTTGCATTTGGCAGATGCTTGCATTTGGAATATGCTTGCAGATCGCATATGCTTGCAGATCGCATATGGCATATGCTTGCAGACTGTGTATGCTTGCATAATGCAGATGCATGCGCATATGTATAACATATCGCATATTGCATATTGCATATCGCATATTGCATATTGCATATCGCATATTGCATATTGCATATCGCATATCGCATATCGCATATCGCATATTGCATATTGCATATTGCATATCGCATATTGCATATCGCATATTGCATATCCCATATCGCTGCATATGGCATATCGCATATCACATACCGCATACCGCATATCGCAAATTGCATATCGCTGCATATCGCTGCATATCGCTGCATATTGCATATCGCATATACATATATGCATATATGCACATATATGAAACATAAAACATAATCGCGGTAGGGATCGAACCGGCGACCTTCCGTTCTTTTCGGCGCTGTCTTAAGCGCGTACGGCACGCTCCTCACCCGGAATTTCCAAAACGCTCCGGACAACCGGGCAGACAACCAGACAACCGGACGGACAGCGAACGAGGCGCGGTCCCTGCGGTCCCGAGGGTGCCGTAGCTCTCGTCCGGGTCCGGACACGTTCGGGTGCATCCGGACGTTCGGGTGCATCCGGATTGCAAATGCTTGCGTATTGCAAATGCTTGCATATGCAATATCCTTGCATATTGTGCATGCTTGCATATTGCGCATGCTTGCATATTGCGCATGCTTGCATATTGCGCATGCTTGCATATTGCGCATGCTTGCATATTCCAAATGCTTGCATATTGCATATGCTTGCAGAACGCATATGCATGCAGATTGCATATGCTTGCATATTGCATATGCTTGCATATTGCATATGCTTGCATATTGCATATGCTTGCATATTGCATATGCTTGCAGATCGCATATGCTTGCAGATTGCATATGCTTGCAGATCGCATATGCTTGCAGATTGCATATATGGCGCAGATCGCATATGCTTGCAGACTGCATCTCTTTGCAGATCGCATTTGCTTGCAGATTGTATATGCTTGCAAATCGCATACGCTTGCAAATGGCATATGCTTGTAGATCGCATATGCTTGCAGACTACATATGCTTGCAGACTGCACATGCTTGCAGATCGCATATGCTTGCAGACCGTATATGCTTGCAGATCACATATGCTTGCAGACCGCATATGGCATATGCTTGCAGATCGCATATGCTTGCAGATCACATATGCTTGCAGATCGCATATGCTTGCAGATCGCATATGCTTGCAGACAGCATATGCTTGCAGATCGCATATGCTTGCAGACAGCATATGCTTGCAGATCGCATACGGCATATGCTTGCAGATCGCATATGGCATATGCTTGCAGGTCGCATATGCTTGCAGGTCGCATATGTTTGCAGATCGCATATGCTTGCAGATCGCATATGCTTGCAGATTGCATATGCTTGCAGACCACATATGCTTGCAGATCGCATATGGCATATTTGCAGATTACATATGCTTGCAGATCGCATATGGCATATGCTTGCAGATCGCATATGCTTGCAGATCGCATATGCTTGCAGATCACATATCCTTGCATATTGCATATTGCGCATGCTTGCATATTGCGCATGCTTGCATATTGCGCATGCTTGCATATTGCGCATGCTTGCATATTGCGCATGCTTACATATTGCGCATGCTTGCATATTCCAAATGCTTGCATATTGCAAATGCTTGCAGATCGCATATGCATGCAGATTGCAAATGCTTGCAGATCGCATATGCATGCAGATTGCATATGCTTGCAGATACATTACATTACATACATATGCTTGCAGATTGCATATATGGCGACGATCGCATATGCTTGCAGACTGCATCTGTTTGCAGACTGCATCTGCTTGCAGACTGCATCTGCTTGCAGACTGCATCTGCTTGCAGATCGCATCTGTTTGCAGACTGCATCTGCTTGCAGACTGCATCTGCTTGCAGATCGCATATGCTTGCAGATCGCATATGCTTGCATATTGCATATGCTTGCAGATCGCATCTGCTTGCAGATTGCATATATGGCGCAGATCACATATGCTTGCAGACTGCATCTGCTTGCAGACTGCATCTGCTTGCAGATTGCATATGCTTGCAGACCGCATATGCTTGCAGATCACATATGCTTGCAGATCGCATATGGCATATGCTTGCAGATCGCATATGCTTGCAGAATCGCATATGCTTGCAGACAGCATATGCTTGCAGATCGCATATAGCATATGCTTGCAGGTCGCATATGCTTGCAGATCACATATGCTTGCAGATCGCATATGCTTGCAGATCACATATGCTTATAGATCACTGCATAGCATAGCATAGCATAGCATAGCATAGCATAGCATAGCGCAGCATAGCATAGCATAGCATAGCATAGCATAGCATAGCGCAGCATAGCATAACACAGCGCAGCATAGCATAGCAGATCATATAGCATAGCGCAGCATAGCACATCATATAGCATAGCATAGCATAGCATAGCATAGCATAGCATAGCATAGCATAGCATAGCGCAGCATAGCATAGCATAACATAGCGTAACATAGCACAGCATAGCATAGCATAACATAGCATAACATAGCGCAGCATAGCATAGCATAGCATAGCGCAGCATAGCATAACACAGCGCAGCATAGCATAGCATATCATAGCATAGCGCAGCATAGCATAGCATAGCGCAGGATAGCGTAGCATAGCATAGCATAGCATATCGCATATGCTTGCAGATTGCAGATCTCATAACGCATATGCTTGCAGACCGCATAACGCATATATATATGCTTGCAGATCGCATATCGCATATGCTTGCATATCGCATATGCTTGCAGATCGCAAATGCTTGCATTTGGCAGATGCTTGCATTTGGCATATGCTTGCAGATCGCATATGGCATATGCTTGCAGATCGCATATGCTTGCAGATCGCATATGGCACATGCTTGCAGACTGTGTATGCTTGCATAATGCAGATGCATGCGCATATGTATAACATATCGCATATCGTATATTGCATATTGCATATTGCATATCGCATATTGCATATCGCATATTGCATATCGCACATCGCATATCGCATATCGCATATCCCATATCGCTGCATATGGCATATTGTATATCACATACCGCATATCGCATATCGCAAATTGCATATCGCTGCATATCGCATATCGCTGCATATCGCTGCATATTGCATATTGCATATTGCATATTGCAAATCGCATATCGCATATTGCATATCGCATATCGCATATCCCATATCGCTGCATATGGCATATCGCATATCACATACCGCATATCGCACATATCACATACCGCATATCGCATATCGCAAATTGCATATCGCTGCATATCGCACGCATATCGCTGCATATTGCATATCGCATTTACATATATGCATATATGCACATATATGAAACATAAAACATAATCGCGGTAGGGATCGAACCGGCGACCTTCCGTTCATTACGGCGCTGTCTTTAGCGCGTATGGCACGCTCCTCACCCGGAATTTCCAAATCGCTCCGGACAACCGGACAACCGGACGGACAACCACGAGGCGCGGTCCCTGCGGTCCCGAGGGTGCCGTAGCTCTCGTCCGGGTCCGGACACGTTCGGGTGCATCCGCATTGCAAATGCTTGCATATGGAATATCCTTGCATATTGCAAATTGCCCATGCTTGCATATGCAATACCCTTGCATATTGCGCATGCTTGCATATTGCGCATGCTTGCATATTCCAAATGCTTGCATATTGCAAATGCTTGCATATTGCATATGCTTGCAGATCGCATATGCATGCAGATTGCATATGCATGCAGATTGCATATGCTTGCAGATTGCATATATGGCGCAGATTGCATATGATTGTTGACTGCATCTGTTTGCAGACTGCATCTGTTTGCAGATCGCATATGCTTGCAGATCGCATATGCTTGCATATTGCATATGCTTGCAGATCGCATATGCTTGCAGATTGCATATATGGCGCAGATCGCACATGCTTGCAGACTGCATCTCTTTGCAGATCGCATTTGCTTGCAGAT